GGATCCCGCTGCTCCAACCCCCCCTCCTCAGCCTGACCCCCCTCCATGACAGCCTGGTGCGTTAAGTCCAGACTCTTTTCCATGTTGTTTATGCTCCTCAAGGCTACCAAATGTACACATACATGTGTTATTCTGTTTCTGTCTTCCAGTTTTGATGGTGACGATTTTGATGATGTTGAAGAAGATGAAGGACTTGATGACTTGGACAATGCTGAAGAGGTTAGAAGTCTAAAATGCTTTAACCCTTTTACTGCCACCTTCCTTTTTGCTAAAATTTCGGAAAGCAGAGGCCCTGTAGAATAAAATGATGGCAGTTGCAATGTTTTATATGAAACACCAAGGGCTAATTCACACCAGCCCCAGTGAGTCCCGGCACAATTCGGTGCCGGATCATCCTGGATTGTATCCCAGCCGGCTCACTGCGTTCTGGGGCGGGAGGGGGGCATTAAAGTCAATGCCACCTCAGCCACGCCCCTGGGCGCACTGCGATTGCCTACACTGGAACGCATGGCACATCAATGCCTGCGTTCCAGTGCGATCAGAAAATATAGTGCATACAGCATTTATGCATATAGTGCATCCAGGACTTAACAAACGTAACCCTTGCAGTGAGGCTGCCCCTGCACTGCTAGGGTTAACTCCATTTTCGTCTCGGGGTTGTAATAAAGAATATATGCTCACCTTATCCTCGGCCTTGTGGTGGTCAGCACTCACCTCTCTCCCCCTCCGCTCTGTCTGTGGTATGTCCCTCTGCATCCTCATGTCTAATGCAGGTGATTGAACCTGCATTAGACATGATGATGTCAGCAGGGCTTAGATCGGCAGAGCCCGGGGATAGGAGGCTGTGGGGGCCAGGCTAGATCGAGGATCAGTTGAGTATATCTTATTTAATCAGTGCAGGGCCTACCCCATGCACTGCAAGGGTTAAGCGCCCATTTTCGTCTAGGGAGGAAAATAAAAAAGTTATACTCACCTGATCCTTGGAGCCGGCTTGCTCTTAGACCGGTTCTTCCAGCCTTGCTCCCCCTCTACAGTGATAAAAGCTCCCCGAGTCATCACAGCATTGCAGCGTAGGAGGAGACAGGCAGGAGGGTGCGCTGTCACAGCTGGCCAGCTCAAAGGATCAGGTGAGTATAATTTTAATTTCCTCCCTAGACCAAAATGAGCACATAACCTTTGCAGTGCTGGGTAAGCCCCACTGCAAGGGTTAATATAAATTTTGCACGGAGTTCTTTAATAAAATGCTCACTAAAGTGAGTGTTCCTTTAATAAACCAACTCTTCTACATGAACTTTTTCTGGCTTAGACATATGTTGTTACTTGCTACTGTAGAAACAATGCACTGTTAGTGGTACTTAACGGATGGGTCGGAAAGCAAAGAATTTACCAGAAAATGTGACTTATTTCATTCGGTTATTCTTCTAGGAAGACCAGGAGCATGTTGCAATCTTACCAGCTGGTGAAGGCCAACAAGCAAACCAGAAACGGATCACAACCAATTATATGACAAAATATGAGAGGGCACGTGTTTTGGGTACCAGAGCGCTACAAATAGCGTAAGTATATAGGGTCTACAGTCCTCTTATACAACTCGCAGGTATAACCGGGGAGAACGAAATGATGTGTTTTATTTTTCATTTCTAAAGAAAAGATGTCTAGAATCTGACTACTTATCCCATGTCCTGCTTGTAAATCTCAGCTTGGAACATGATAAATGTGGACTTTGGTTTTTATTGTTGTGTGTATTGGGGAGAGCTATAATAGAGGTTATAGCTGAAATCCTTTTTCAGCAGCTATGATAATGCAGCGAAAAGTGCACTTAACCTTCATGCCTAGCCCCTGTGACCTGAAGCAACCCATTCTCCCCTACCTCACATGTGTACTTGGGTGCAGCATTCTGCAATCTACATCTCACAGCTGAAAACCTCTTTCTACCATCTGTGCATGTTTTACCATTGTCTGCATTTCTTTACCTGTTTTGCTTAAAAAACATTATTTTTTATTTTTTTAAACAGAATGTGTGCACCTGTTATGGTAGAGCTGGAAGGAGAAACTGACCCCCTGCTTATTGCTATGAAGGAACTAAAGTAAGTATCTTTCGGAATGACAGTTTCTCTAAGCCAACTAAAGTAATTTCAGAAAATGTGAAATTAACACCTTTTGATGCATCAAGGGGCTTATTCATAAAGGTCCGAAATAGCTTTGTTGATTGTCTTACTGTATTTTCACAAGGCTTTAAATTTTTTAAGTCAGTTTTGTATAGTTTTTAGCCATACTTGTGTCCTCCTACAGGAAACACAAACTGAACAGCTTAAAAACTAACCCAGCCCCCATTTCCTTAGTTTTTGGGTTTCCTGTTCACACACAGTCCATAAGCACCATCATTTTTGTATTTTATCCATCCAGATGCTCCACTGTGGTTGTGAAGGTTTGTTGAAGAGAGAATAATTTAGTCGCTCCCCATGTACTGTGGTGGTTCATGTTGGGTTGCTATTCACATAGTAAAGGGGTAGCCAAACTCTGGCCCTCCATCTGTGGTGAAACTACAAATCCCATGATGCATCTCTCGCCGGGGGTCGTGGCTGTGAGAACCTTGCAATGCCTCATGGGATTTGTAGTTCCACCACAGCTGAAGGGCCGACGATTGGCTACCCCTGATATAGTAATAAATAAATGTAAAATTGCCTTGTTTAAGTTGCTTTAAAATCCCACCTGGCTTTCCCCTATGTAATGTTAAGAAGGTGGGCTGAAGGGGAGGCTAATGTTCACTCTAACCCTGTCTGCTCTGTGCTGGCAGACTTCATTATCCGTGGTAAACTAGAGAACAGACACAGACATAGACACCTCTTTGTGGCATTGTTTAATAAGAGGAAGCTTAGTCTGACACTATTAGTTTTACTCTCAAACTGCTCAGAGTAACTTGGAATCTAAAAGGTAAGAAATACATGTCTAAAACTTCTTTTTTTCCGTATGCTATGGGAACATATAGAAGGGTTTTCTCAAATTTCACTGTGAAAGTGGAACTATACTTTAAGGCCTATTATTGTGAATATTATCTAAGCTATGTTTCTCGGCTACTCCCTTCATTGGTGAAATTCTTTTTCTGCGCAATTTCTGGGTAATCTAATGTTGAGGTTCCCAGAGAGCAAAAATAGAAGAAACTCTTTAGCAAGAAGATAGAGAAATAGTTTTTCTCTTTAAAGGGGTTCTAAACCCTCCCGTTTTTTTGCCTATATCTACTGCCACCAAGCAGTAGATATGGGCAAAATGTTTTTTTTTTTTTTTTTAAACGTTTTAACAGCGCTTAACACTTACCTTGTTTTGGCTGCGTGCTCCCGTCCAAGAAAACAAAACTGCTCCGGCGGCCGCAAAGCATCTTGGGGCGGGCGCATGCGCAGTTCGGATTCTCGGCCGGGAGACGAGCAGAGACGCAAGGTAAGTCTATGGACACGTGCACCCGTATGCAGACACCGCTGGATCAGAAGTGCCTGCTAGCAGAGAGGAGTCAGCGCTGGATCGGAGAGCTGCAGCACCGCTGGAGGGACAGATGAGAACATCAGGAAAGATCGGATTAAGAGACATAATTGAAGGTTAGTGCTGACATTAACATTGGGGGGAGGGGGGAAAAAATTATCCTTTAATGTCACTTTAAGCCCTCTCTAAGGATTCCAAATGACACCTATCTTCCTTGTTGGGGAAGACTGCCCTCTAGTCTCTCTAAGGACACTTTCCCAGATCCCTCCATTCTTTAAGCTATCCAGGTGGAGTAGCATCTTGAGTTTGTGTCCTTCCCCGCCTCACTTGCATTCTGTTACTCTTTTCTCAAAAGATTCTGTGAACTTGGCGAGGGATCAAACCAAATCTGTTTCAAATCTTAAGAGCTCTTTGGACATGCCTCTAAAAACATTACATCCCTTCTTGTGCTAATGGCATCCTTAAAAGAGAAATATGGGCCAACTTCTTTTTTTTTTGCCATAGTTCTCTTTAGGACATATACTAATGTCCTCCTGTGACCCAAAACTGAGCATATAGTGGGCTATTGCCTGCTATATGCTGAGAGCGCAGAGCCACACTGCAGCCGGGATGGATCCCGACAATATTGTCAAGATCCACCCCACTGCCTGATTGACAGTTCTTTCAGCGTTGGAGGAACGGAGAGGGGAGGAGGGAATCCCTGTGGGGAGCAGTGACAATCAGTAACTGCACTCTGCAGGGAGAAGATCGGGAGCTGAACGATCACTCGGTTCTCGATCAACCAGCTTCTTTGTCGCACGTCAGCTCTAATTATGGGTATGAGTGTATTTCACTCTCTCCATAATTCTCCTTTAATCCCTGTGGTCTACTGATCCCAGATCCACTGGAGAACGCACCAGTACACTGATATCCTTTCACCAAACTGATTTCACTCCTTCAGGATCTATTCTGATGGCTCTTCCCTTTCAGGTGGTTAGCTTGGATACCCTTGGGATTGGATCCCATACTGATGGACCATATCAGGGAGATTTTCCTTAGGCGTGAAATCCTCTTATGATTAGCCTTTCAGTTCAAAAAACTTTCAAACTTTCAGATTTTTAGTGCTGGAAGCAGATTCTGTGAATGTAAATGGGAACTGAGTCTAGAAGCTTTTTCTCCTTTTCTCTGACAAGTGGGACATTTGCAGATCAACATATCCTAAAAATATGAAGGTAAAGGATTCGTTTCCTCCTTAAGGTGGGAGAAATTCAGGAAATTGATGCGCTAGCTATACTTCCATAGGCTCCTATTCCTTGTAAGATTATCTTGGAAAGGCTAGAACATCATTATGTCTCCTTTGTTACCCAGAAGGATTGGTTTTCCACATTTTTGATCCTTTGCAGATTGCATTTGGACCGTGTCTATTTTTTTCACTTAACTTGCTTAACTTAAAGGAGAACTATGGGGTTAGGGCTTTTCCCCATAGTTCTCCTTAGGGTAACGGGAGGGCACAAACTAGCGTCCTCCCGTCACCCTAGGCTCAGTATACCGCGAGCTACAGCTCGCAGTATACTGAGATGCTGAAGCGGATCCCAACAATTATGTCTGGATCCGCCCAGCTGCGCGAATGACAGCTGGCTCTGCCTATCTAGAGGCAGAGCCAGCTGTACCCTCCCCCGACCGTTCCACCAGTCAGCGCTGGAGGATCGGAGTGGGGAGGGTGCATTCCAGCCACTCCCCTGTCACGGCAGAGAGCTGTGACAGGATCGAGAGGTGAGCGAACGCCGGTATGTGTTCGCTCACTTGCTGATCTACTGAGCCGACCTGTGACAGTCTCATTGTCACAGGTTGGCTAGAACTATGAGGTAAGTGAAAAGCACTCACCTCATAGTTCTCCTTTAAGGGAGACTGTTGTCAATTTGTGGCGAAAGAAATCCAGGTTTTAGTGGACGTAACATTTAATGCTTCTTACTTTCCAACAAAGACTCATTTCAAGACGAGGCAAAAATAAATCTTTCTATTTTAGATCAATTAGTAATATAAAAGTGAACTGATGTAATATGAGCAATAATCTACTAATACAAGCAAGCCTTTGTTATGCCAGCTTCTCCTTTTAACTATTGCTATCAGAAAGGGGATAACAAAGCCCTATTTGATAGCATTTGGAGGTGACAGGCTCTCTTTATGGAGACATCCTTCCAGTGCACACAATGAAGCACAGTATTGTGCTTGATCACTTGTGTAATGGGCAATGCAGCTGGGTTTGTGGCAGCAGCAGCCATGATTTTGGCATAACCACTTCAAAATCAGGACGTAGTTACGTCCAATTTATTTTTTAGCTGAAAATGCACATGCTGCCCCACCCCGTTTCTATGGTTTCCGAGTCCTTTGTGCTTGATTTGCTTGGGCAGAGTGCAGGGGCTTGTCAACCTCATTGTGATCTCTATAAAGTTCTGTCACTTAGAACTAGCAAGCTGCTTAAGAGGTTTTGACTTCAATTGCTGTATGGTTGTTGCAGGTCAGAGGTCCAAATGTGTGTGACCAGACCAGCCATGCAAGTAGCATTTTCAGAAAGAGTTCAAGTTCAACACCACTTAACGGTTGGGTGATTTGTTTGGTTAATATTTACTATTTTGTTTTAGGATATGCACTACATGAACATGACTTGTATATCAGCAGTAAAATCCAACTGAAAGCTCTTAAAAGTCAGTAGCCCAGTGTGTCTATACATAGAATTTTTTTAGTCTTATTTGTTACACTTTTCTGTCCCACAGAGCGAGGAAGATCCCTATAATCATTAGGCGGTATCTTCCTGATGGCAGTTATGAAGATTGGGGAGTGGATGAACTCATCATTACAGACTGAAGCATCTGGACTTTCCTGTTCTCAGATGTTCCCTTTTTTGTTTTATTTGTCTCTAGTTTCTTGTAATGTTGTAAAGAAAGATATTTTAAAATAAGTATTTTTGCAGTATTTATATTTCTACATGCCAATATGACACACTGATGGTGTATACCCATTGTATTCATTTCTGTTTCTACAGAGATGTATTTAACAATATTTTATTATGTTTTGCATTCTCAGTTGTAGATTTTGTTAAGAATAAATGTCAATTAATTGGCATGACGAATCCTTGCAGGACTTCTTTTCTTAGTACTGTATTACCTTTTCTCACACTGAGTTTTGTTTTTTTTGTTTTGTTTTTTATCTTTGCTGTTAGGTTGCTGTACATTTTATTCTCATTCTTGAAGTAAGCTAAATAATTACTGAACTTGGCAAATCAAAGTCCTTTGGCTCCCTAGGAGAAAGCAGCAGTTTAATTCTAGAATGTTACTAGTACCCCTCCTCAGCCTTTACCCACTACCTGTTCTTACCAGAACAGAGGACTCATTGTGTACCTTTACCTCTGCACCTGTTACTATGGAAATGCTCAAGGTGGGGACAAATTTCTCAGGAGTATCGGAAAGCTGGATGAATCCCACTCTTTGTTTCATCCAAGTTCGTGGTCTGTTGCTCCTGCGTTCCTGTCACACCTGGGAGACAGGTTAGCTCTGATTCCTGTGCCGCATTCACATATTGTCAACATATCTGCAGATTAAAATGCCAGCCATATGCTAAACCTTTGCTGTCAGCAAGTACACGGCCACTTGACCAATGTGCAAATATATATTTTTCACTAGTTTAATTAATTCCAGATTACTTGTTGGGAGACGACAGAAGACACCTTCTTAAAATTCAAAGGTTTCAACATCCTATCTGCAAACTGTTTATTTAAAATGAGAAAAAGAATTTCAGGGTGGTCTTAAGCACTGTTGTAAACTGGGCAAAGTGGATCTAGACATAAGTATCACAGGTCAAGTTTGTGGCTAGCCTAACTGGAACATGTAGAAATATGTTTGCAAAAAAAAAAAAAATCATTCCAGCTGTGCATTTTGCACTTTACAGTGGCCAGTTTGAGCAAAAAATGTTCCTCCTGCTGGCTTTAACCTAACTACATGACACACGAGATAGTGGGAGGAACTTCTGAGTGTGGCAACAGATCAGGTATTCTACACATCTGGAAGCGATGGATACCTGTGATGGCCAGAGATCTACAACAGGGAGAAGTATTGACGCACAGGCCGCCGGAAAGATAAGTATACAGCACCTGGTTTTACAAGCTGGCTTTCATTTTGAGCATACAGTGACAGATCCATTTTCTCCGTTACAAAAACTAGAGGCCATCACCTAAAATTGGTGGAAAAAAAATTCCAGCACAAGGGGCGAAGGGGGTTCTTCACAGTAAGATCAGTTAGGGTCTGGAACTCACTGCCACAGGCGGTGATTTCAGCAAATAATGTGGAATTGTTCAAGAAACTTTTGGACGATTTCTTAAGGGACCGTAATATACAGGGGTACAGGTACTCCTAGAATGAGATCCTAATAGGTTGGACTTGATGGACTAATGTCTTTATTCAACCTCAAATACTATGTAACTATGTAATAGTTTAAACATATGTAGACAGATGACTATAAAACAAGTAAACGTAAGGATACTGCTCGGACATTGGCTGCAGATGATGTGCTTTGTTAACCACTTGAGTAACAAGTTGCCTACCCAATCTGCTGTCCATTAAACGTATTAATTTATTTAAAAATGTATTCCCAGGTTTCGGATTAAATTATCAGCCACTTTGTATTAGGATTGTTAAAACTGCTTCCTTACCAATGTAATAAGCGCAGACACTCTCTCGCAAAGCCATAGTAGCAGTCATGTGTAAGTTGGCAGTGGCACTCTCAAGAGTCTATAATAGGCCACATTTACTGAAGTATAAGATTAACAGAAAGGTGAGTGTTTGTGGATGATGGGTATGATAGTCCTTAAGTATATCCTGTCCTAACAGGAAGGAGGGGAGAATCTCCCAATAGGGGCACAGATGGCAATAAAAAAAACTAGGGATGCACCAATACTGAGTATTTGGGCGAGTACCGATGCCTAACCCAATACTTCCGGTATCAGGAAGCTGGGCAGCTTGTCATTTTCTTAAAATCAGATCGTGTTTATTAAACAGTTTTGCAAACAGATCACAATACTGACAATAACATAGTACATGCATAATAAAAGAAAAGAGAAAAAAAAACCACCAAGAAACACAGAACTTTTACCAAGTACCAAACTAGCACCTCGTGGCGCGCAGACCTGAAAGAAGTATGTAATTACAGAGGTACGGTCGTACAATCCATATGTGATGCATAGAGTTATGGTAAGCATTTGCATATGCATGAAGGGCAGTGTCAGTGTGAAACAGATATTTAGTACACGCTAATACCAAAGAGGAAGCCATTACCTAGAAAAGGCTACGGCTACCGGGATCTGAAGCTCAGCCAGGGGGAGGGCAGCTCGTCATTACACGCTGCCCGGCTTCCTGATTGGCCTGGAAGCTGGCTCCATGCTCTCTCGTCACCTAGTGACGAGAAGCATGGGGGCGGCTTCCCTGCTAATCGGGAAGCTGGGTGGCTAAACTTTACACACTTCCCGGCTAATCAGGAAGTCAGATGGCTTCCAGTATTCGGTGTTGTTGAGTACCGGAACAAAAATATCGGTACTTGTACTCGATATCGAAATACCGGTATTGGTGCATCCCTAAAAAAAACTTTCAGTACCTCTAAACCATCCACACCCATTTTGCACTTTATATGGCATTTTTTGTGTACTAATAAAATGAACATTATAGATTTAAAATGATGTTAACCCCCCCCAAAAAAAAAATCATTTTTTATTCTAGTATGGTTAAGCATTGTGAATTGTGTGCGTTGGTACATGGGGGTTGTTTTTTTTCCCTCAAATATTTATTTTATTATTTCTACATTGGCAATTGTTTCTGCATTGGTTTCAGAAAACCTGATGGTGAGTCACTACAGTGACTTGACCGATACACTAACCCCTGAGGAGTTGACGTCTACTGCTATTAATCCCAAACTAAAGGGGCAGTTTTGGCTCCTATTGATGCAGTGGGCACCACTTTGAAACGGGGGAATCAGCCTGTTGCTTCTACCAGTGCTTTCTCAAGACTTAGATTGTTTAAAATCTGCTACAGCTTCTAAAGCTGGCCATACACCTTGCAATCATCGTACGGAATTTTTCGTACGATGATCGAACCGTCGTACGATTTTTGTACGACGGCCCCAGCATGCAGACCATTGAGTAGTTCAATTAGCGGTCGTTAGCAAAATCACCTGGCTGAATTTTGTTAATTGACGGAACGGATTTTCGTTTGCGCATGAGCAGTGTTAATGGTGCAATTTTTGATGTACGAAAACACCACCAACCTAGTGAGTTTCGTACATAGTTACATAGTATTTGAGGTTGAATAAAGACATTAGTCCATCAAGTCCAACCTATTAGGATCTCATTCTAGGAGTACCCGTACCCCTGTATATTACGGTCCCTTAAGAAATCGTCCAAAAGTTTCTTGAACAATTCCACATTATTTGCTGAAATCACTGTCTGTGGCAGTGAGTTCCAGACCCTAACTGATCTTACTGTGAAGAACCCCCTTCGCCCCTTGTGCTGGAATTTTTTTCCCACCAATTTTAGGTGGTGGCCTCTAGTTTTTGTAATAAATACCGAAGAGAAGTTTACAGCTAGCGTCCGTCGTATCTAGCTCCAGCCATAGGGTTTCCATGTCTTCCCCATTATTTGACGCGATATCGTCCCTTATATGCACGTTTAGATTATTTTTTACGTAAATGCAAACGTCCCCCCTCTTCTCCCACCTCTGTCCCTCCTAAACAGGTTATACCCTTCTATATTAGTAGCCCAGTCATGCGTGCTGTCCAGCCAGGTTTCCGCTATACCCACTATGTCGAAGTCCTCTTCAATTAGCCTAATTTCAAGCTCCTCTATTTTATTTGCCAGACTTCTAGCGTTGGTGTACATACATTTAATTCCTCTCTTTTTGTGGGACAAAAGTTTACTACCTTGTTGTTCCCCACTATTTTTATTGTTATTATTCTGCCTTGATTTCGGTCGTCCGTTGTTAGTTATACTTACATGTGCCAACGGATTTCCTATATTGACTGGAGTGAGCCCACTATTATTAACTCCTTTTTTACTACTTTCTGTGTTATTTTTATCTATGATTAAATTATCAACGTTTAGTTTAAGTAATTTTATTTTTATACCCTCCCCCCCACTTTCTAGTTTAAAAGCTCCTCCAGTCTTTCTACCATTTTCCCTCCCAGGAATGCTGCACCTTTCCCATTAAGATGCAGCCCGTCTCGGCTGAAGAGCCGATAGCCGACTGCAAAGTCAGCCCAGTTCTCCAGGAAACCAAAACCTTCCTTCTGACACCAGCTCCGGAGCCACTTGTTAAGCTCCCTCAACTCGCGCTGTCTGTCCGGAGTGGCTCTTGGCACCGGCAGTATCTCTGAGAAAACTACCGTGGAGGTCCTTTCCTTCATCCTAGCACCTAGGTCTCTGAACTCCTGTTTTAGGACACTCCAATTTCCTCCTATTTTGTCATTGGTGCCGATGTGCACCATGACAGCGGGGTCGTGCCCAACCCCATCTAGTAATCTAGTACGATTCGACAGAAGTTTTCTAGCCTGCTGGAAAGTCAAAAGTCGTACGATTGTTCAGTATTTGCGGTTGCACACTCCATCAACCTTGCATATATCGTACAATATTCATTAGTGTTAGTGAGTGGGCACCTTAAGACTTTACCTTTGCTTCCACTTTTTAAATTATTTCTCTATAGCAGGTGTAGCCAAACTCCGGTCCTCCAGCTGTGGTGGAGCTACAAATCACATGAGGCATTACAAGATTCTCACAGCCACGACTTCCAGAGAGAGATGCATCATGGGATTTGTAGTTTCACCACAGATGGAGGGCCGGAGTATGGCTACTCCTGCTCTATAGAGATTGGAAACATCCTGAAAAGTTATTTGCGTCTTCCAAGTACTCATTAGTCTTGTATTGCATATTGTATTGTATGTATGAAAGTTTTCTACAGAAGTTGGCCATTCCCTCTGTTGATCCGGCCCACCTTACCATGATCCTTACTATTCTGGCTGCCTTCAA